CCCCCTCATTCTTCTCTTCTGCAAACTAAACAATCCCAGTTCCCTCAGCCTCTCCTCATAAGTCATGTGCTCCAGCCCCCTAATCATTTTTGTTGCCTTCCGCTGGACTCTTTCCAATTTTTCCACATCCTTCTTGTAGTGTGGGGCCCAAAACTGGACACAGTATTCCAGATGAGGCCTCACCAATGTCAAGTAGAAGGGAATGATCACATCCCCTACGTATACAGCCCAAAATGCCGTTAGCCTTCTTGGCAACAAGGGCACACTGTCGACTCATATCCAGTTTCTCATCCACTGTAACCCCTAGGTCCTTTTCTGCAGAACTGCTGCCTGGCCATTCGGTCCCTAGTCTGTAGCAGTGCATGGGATTCTTCCATCCTAAGTGCAGGACTCTGCACTTGTCCTTGTTGAACCTCATCAGATTTCTTTTGGCCCAATCCTTTAATTTGTCTAGGTCACTCTGGACTCTATCCCTACCCTCCAGCATATTTACCACTCCTCCTTCTCTCCCTAGGGCCAGGGTTACAGTCTACTGAGCCCTTTTCATCATAAGCCAGCAAGGAGGTTGGTGAGAGACCTCCCACCGTCTCTGTTGTCCCTACGGGCTTATTCAAGAACAGTTTAGCCTCCTGTCCTGACAGGGGCCTGTCTTCCCTTCCCAGGAGGTGTTTCTGTAGTGGCGGGTTGGGGGGAACCCGGACCCGCCCTCTACTCCGGATTCCGGCCCAGGGACCCTAGTGGCAGCAGCTGTTGGCAGCCGACCTTTCACTGCCAGAGCTGCTACACTTCCCTGGGCCACTTCCCGATAGCTCCCCTGCTTCTCTCTCCTAACGCCTTCTTCACCCTTACCTTAGGGCTCCTTTCCCAGTGGCTCGAGGGTGTCTTCGTTACCCAGCCCTTCAGCCGCACTTCCTTTCCTCTGGCTCCCTTTTCCTTCCCCCGGCCTGACCGGAATGAGCTCTTTTACAGTATTAGAGGGGCCTTAATTAGAGTCAGGTGTTCACATTAGCCTAATGGCCTCACCTGACTCTTTGCAGGCTAATTGGAGTCATGTGTCCACCCTAGCCTGTAGCAGCCCCTGCTCTGGTCAGTCAGGGAACAGAAAACTGCTTACCCAGTGGCCAGTATATCTGCCATCTACTACTCTGCTGTACCCAACTGGCCTGGGTCTATCACACTATGTACCAGGCTTGTTATCCCAAGGGGAGTCTCTGACATGCTTCAGACCAAACGCACTGCTTCCGGTAGAATAAACAAACACATTTATTAACTACAAAGATAGATTTTAAGTGATTATAAGTCAAAGCACAACAAGTCGGATTTGGTCAAATGAAATAAAAGCAAAACGCATTCTAAGCTGATCTTAACACTTTCAGTGCCCTTACAAACTTAGATGCTTCTCACCACAGGCTGGCTGGTTGCCCTTCAGCCAGGCTCTCCCCTTTGATCAGCTCTTCAGACGGTTGGTGGTGGTGTCTGTAGATGTAGGTGGAAGAGAAAGAGAGCACGGCAAATGTCTCTCCTTTTTAGCATGTCCTTTCTTCCCTCTTGGCTTTGTTCCCCCCCCCCATTCAGAGTCAGGTGAGTATTACCTCTGCCTAGTCCCAAACTGACCAAAGGAAGGGGGGTGACTCACTCGAGAGTCCAACAGATCCTTTGTTGCTGCCTAGGCCAGTGTCCTTTGTTCCTGTGAGGCTGGGCTGGGTTTGTCCCATACATGCCCTGATGAGGTGTGAACTGCCCCTCTGTACCTGGAGAGTTTTGTCTGGGCTTGTTTTAAGCCATGAGGACACATTTTCAGCCTCATAACTATATACATGAAATTACAACCTATAACATTACTATACCAACAATGCTCAGAGCATCATGGGCCTTCCGAAGACACACGATATGACAAACTTTGCATTGGATACCACACAATCGTATTATAAGGCTGAACATGGGGGTGCAGGGTGTTCCCCCGAGGTACAGAGTGTCACAGCCAGATCCCCAGCTGGGGTAAATTGGTGCAGCTCCCTTGAAGCTATGCCAATTTATACCATCTAAAGGACTGGCCAAATGAAAGATTCCTCCAGTAAAATGCCAGGGACCAAAACTTCACTGAACTTTGGGAGAAAGGGGAGAGGGAAGAGCCTCAGCTGCTGAATCAAAAATGCTTGAGGATACAAACGGCTGTGCAGCCCCACTGACCGGAATGGGGATCTATGGGGATAGCTGAGGACTGAATTTGACCCATTGTTTAATAGCTACCTACCACTAAACATGCCTAGCACATACTTAAACTATTGGGCATCAGCCACACAGGAGGGTTTTGTCCTGCCAAATAAGTTTATTAACCTTTAGCACATTGAATGTCTCCCCACAAATTTGCTACCCACACACTGCTGGGGCGTTAGGCTATTAGCTCTGCTGCAAAGAAACCTAAATCACATTTGGTTTTAGCCTGTGCTTGTGTGTCACAGGACAGTGATTGGGGAGATGAAAAGTGCTGGTGAACTAGCTTGCATGCTACTTAAAAGTCCCCCAGTGCCCCAGTCATTCAAAGACCCATAGAGGTGAAGGCCAAAAGGGAGCACGATGATTGGCTCCGTTTCCCCATCTTTAAAATGAGGCTAACGTGAAGAACTAGGTATTTATTCGTATTTTTATTGTAGTCTGACCTCCTATAGGAAAGAGGCCATAGAATTCCACCCAGTAATTTTTGCATTGATCCCAATATCTTGTGGGGAAACGAGTTTTTAGACCAACATCCAACCGTAGTGTAAAGACTCCAGGAAATGGAGAATCCACCACATCCCTACGTGAGTTGTCTCACTGGTTAATTACCCCCACTGTTAAACATTTGCACCTTGTTTCCCATTTGAATTTGCTTAGCTTCAGTTTGCAGCCATTAGCTCTTGTTATGCCTTTGTTAGATGAAAGAGCCCTTGCTCCTTCTCTCTCCCTAGGCACTTACAGATTGATGCTGGATAAGCTAAAAAGATTCTGACTCCTTTAGTCTGTCACTGCAAGGCAAGCTTTCCAGCCCGCAAATCTTTCTTGTAGCTTTTCCATGGATTCCAAGGCCAGAAAGGACCATTGTGATGGTCTGGTCTGACCTCCTGTAGAATGCAGGCCAGAGACCTGCCCCAGAATCATCCCTAGAGCAGAGCTTTTAGAAAAACAGCCCATCTTGATTGAAAAATTGCCAGTGATGGAGATTCTCCCCTAGTAAATTGTTCCAATGGTTAATTATTTTCACTGTTAAAAATGTACCCCTTATTCCAGCCTGGATTTGTCTAGCTCTAACTTCCAGCCATTGGGGCATGTTAGATCTTTCTCTGCTAGACTGAAGAGCCCATTATTAAATCTTTGTTCCCCATGTAGGTACTTACAGACTGCGATCAAGTCACCCCTCAACCTTCTCTTTGTTAAACTGAATAGATTGAACTCCTGGGGTCTATCACTATAAGGCAGATTTTACAATCCTTTAATAATCCTTGTGGCTCTTCTCTGAGCCCTCTCCAATGTATCAACATCCTTCTTGAATTGTCGACAATAGAACTGGACAGTATATCCAGCAGTGGTCGCATCAAAGTACAATACAGAGGTAAAATAGCCTATTGACTCCTACTCAAGGCTCCCCTGTTTATGCATCCAACGTCCGCATTAGCCCTTCTGGCCACAGTGTCACACTGGGAGCTCAGCTGATTGTCCACCGCGACCCCCAAATCTTTTTCAGAGTCCCAGGGTAGAGTCCCCCATCCTGTAAGTGTGGCCTCCATTCCTTGTTCCTAGATGTATGTATTTCCATTTCATTTACATGTAGCCATATTGTTTGCTTACGCCCAATTCACCAAATGATCCAGATCTCTCTGTATCAGTGATCTGTCCTCTTCGCTATTTACCCCTCCCCCACGTGTGGTGTCATCTGCAAATTTTATCAGTGATTATTTTATCTTTCCTTCCAGCTCATTAACTAAAATGTTAAAATAACATAGGGCCCCCCTTGCCGGTTATTCAATATCCATCTCAAAGCATGGGCACTAGAATGTGGAACACAACTTCAGTAATTTACTATTTCCTGTGTACTATGCTGTTGCATGCAGTCAGGGGGCTAAAGACAGATGAAGTGCTGTGGTCATTCAATAGTGTACCAGTTACACACAGACCCGTGCTAATGCTCTAATCTCACGGGGCATGATTTGCTGCTCTAGACAAGGCCTATGTGTTTTGTAACATGCATGGGCTCAAACTTTAGTGCAGACGCTCCTAACTAGCCCACCTCTGTTGTAGAGTTTCCCAGGCTAGGAGAGCCAGTTACAACACAGGAGCACGTGGGTAGAACTCCGTCTGCTCTTGCATTGTGGACAGGGGCAGGCCACGTTTGAATCATGTCCCTGGGCTGGGCTGCAGCCATGCTCTTTGCATGTTCAGGAGCATGGCAAATACATGGTTTGTTCCTCTGTGCACTGCAAAAGCAAACGGTGTGTCTTGAGTTAGAACGGGGACCCCCTGGTTTATTTGGAGGGGATCAAGGGCCACTGTGTTACAGCCAAGTCTTTGGTTCTGCAGCACAGATGGGACCAAAGGGGGCTGATATTTGCTTTGGCAACTTCCCTTGCCATGCCGGTAAAGTAAAACTCCTGTAAGTGAACGCTGGAACCAGCAGAGGGACCGACAGACAGACAGGGCCGATCACTTTAGTGGGGTTGCTAAATGCATCTGTGAAATTTCACACTGACCCACCCCCCTCGCTGCCCCCCAGCAGCTCCGTCTGGCTTTAGTCCACATTCCAGCTCTGGATCTGGGGACCCAGGGAGGTGGGGACAGAGAGGGGCAGGCAGCATGGGCTCGTGGATTCAAAGAGCTCTGCCCAGCACCTCAGGAGCCAATTCGTCTGCCGGCCTTGAGGATGCTGAATGAGAGGCGGAGGGGAGGGGTGGGGGTGGGGGTGGGAAGAAGGGGGAAGGAGCTGTAACTTAACGATTCTAATTAGACACAAGGCTGAGGGACTGACGGGCAAGAGGAAGGAACAGCTGCCTGTGTGTGAGACAGAGAGAGAGCAGGGAGGGCTCTGGCCACATCTGTCTGAGGCTTAAGGAAGGAAGGAGAAGAGAAGAGAAATGAGCTGAGTGAAGATTAGGGCTTAGGCTATCTCCCCAGCGCCAACAGCAAGGACGTGGCTGGGAAGTCAGGGGGACTTAGAACATTTGCCCCGTAGACCCAGGTCCCAGCAGAGCCGCAGAGTCTGAGAGACCTTCGGGGCCAGAAGAAACTCCTCTCTCCCAGCATCCTTCTCCCACCCTTCGAGCTGGGATCCCTGAGGCATGGAGGAGCAGCTGGACTGGGCAGCCTATGGCGAGAACCTGACGGGCGACTGTGAGTACGAGGAATGGAGCCCCTCCCTGGTGCTCCTCCCCACCATCTATCTGCTGGTTTTCCTGCTGGGCACCATAGGCAACGGCTTGGTGCTGTGGACCATCTTCCGGGGAGGGCAGGAGAAGCGGCGCTCGGCCGACACCTTCATTGCCAACCTGGCCATGGCTGACCTGACCTTTGTAGTGACCCTGCCACTTTGGGCTGCCTACGCCTGGCTGGGATACCACTGGCCCTTCGGCTCCTTCACATGTAAGCTCAGCAGCTACCTGATCTTTGTCAACATGCACGCCAGCGTCTTCTGCCTGATGGGCCTCAGCATTGATCGCTACTTGGCCATCGTGCGGCCCATGGCTAATGCCAAGCTGAGGTGGAGGGCCAGCGGGCTGGTGGCCACCATTGTCCTCTGGGCCTTGGCGGCCATTTTGGCCTTGCCAGCCATGATCCTCCGGCAGGCAGCGGTGCTATTGGGAGAAACCAAGGTGACATGCTATATGGACTACTCAGGCGTGGTGGCCAATGGGACTGAGGGGGCATGGGAGGTGGGGCTGGGCCTGTCCTCCACCATGCTGGGCTTCGTGGTCCCTTTTGTCGTCATGCTGACCTGCTACTTCTTCATCGCCCGCACCATCGCCGACCACTTCCGGAAGGAGCGCGGCGAGGAGCTGAGGAAGAGGAAGCGACTGCTGAGCATCATCATCGTGCTGGTGGCCACCTTTGCCTTCTGTTGGCTACCCTACCACCTGGTGAAGACCATCTACGTGCTGATGGACCTGGAGGTGATGCCCTGGTCCTGCGGCTTCCATGCCTTCCTCAATAACTTGCACCCCTACTGCACCTGTGTGGCCTACATCAACAGCTGCCTCAACCCCTTCCTCTATGCCTTCTTTGACCCTCGCTTCCGGCAGGCCTGTGCCGCTGTCCTGTGCTGCAGCAGGGGGCGCTGGCCGGGGTCCAGCAAGGACAAGTCAGCCAGCTACTCCTCCAGCCACAGTCAGAACCTGCAGGGAAAGGGTGGGGAGCTGCCACAGGAGAAACTGGGTCCAGGCAGGCAGGAAACTCTGCTCCGAGGCTAAGAGAAGGGGGATGACATGGACCCGCCTCTGGGGACATCAGGTAGAGTGAGTCCTCCTCTGCTGTCACTCTGTCTTTCATTGCTTCTCTCACGCCTTCTTTCATACTTTCTTTTCTCTCTCCATCACTGTCTCCCTCTTTCACCCTTCACCATCTCTTCCATTTCTCCTTCTTCTCTTCCTCCAGCTCTCTCTTGGATTGGCTTCTCCCTTGTCACAGGCCTTGTGCAGATAAAGCATTCCCAAGGCCTGTGGCTACCCTGCAGAAGCTCAGCTTAACCCTTCCAGGCACGGACTTTCCGCTAGGGGCACGTCTACACTGCGGCTGGGAGAAGCCTCCCAGATCTACCCACCCAAGGATGGATCCCAGAGCTCTGGTAGGCTTGTGTCTGGGTGGCTACCCAGGCCGCCATCCACTCGCCAATGGCCACTCACTGCTATTTTTAGCGCGCTAGCTCCCGCAGACCTAGCCTTGTCTGTCTCCCCAGCTGCAGTGTAGACATATCCTAAAGCAGCAGTTCTTCACCGGGGGTGCAGGTTTCAGGGGGTCCGCCAAGCAGGGCCAGCATTAGACTCACTGGGGCCCAGGGCAGAAAGCCAAAGCCCTACTGCCAATCGGGCCTCAAGCTGTAGCCTGAGCAGCTTAGTTTCGCAGGGCCCCCTGTGGCCTGAGGCCCTGGGCCATTCCCCTGCTTGCTACCTCCTAATGCAGAAAAACAGCTGCGGCACATATGGGCCGTGGAGTTTTTATAGCACGTTAGGGGAGCCACGGAAAGAAAAAGGTTGAGAACCCCTGCACTAAAGGGCTCATGACCTGGAGGCAGACAGCCCCAGGGATGAAGGGTTTCTGCATTTCTGCATTCCCGTCCCTTCCCCCCCGCACACCACCTTCCCCCCCACCCCCCCCCAGGGCTGGCAGGGGCCAGCCCTGGTCACTGGCTGGGCATTGGGGGTGTGGCGTTAGTTTTGTGGTGTTGGGGGCTGGAAGACCCGCAACACCACAAAGGATGGCTGCTGCTGCTGCCTCTCCTGAGATACTGGCTCCTGTCCCCCTGAAAATTCACTCTACCCTTTGTCTGCTGTGGTGGGGTGAGGGGGAGGAGGAAGAGTCTGCAAGCCCCACCCCCATCCCCGCCCTCCTCCCCCTCTCTCTTAATGCCTCGGTCAATACCCAGACCCACAAGGTGTTGGAAGCAATTCTTCCCCCAGCTGGGTGGGGCCAGTGGGGAAGCTGTTAGCCGTGGGATCGGCCCCCTTCCCCCATACATTGCCTTCACTGAGAGCCACCCTCCCCTCACCCAGCCCTCCCTCCTTTACATCACCCACCCACCCAGGATCCCCTGCTGGGCTTGTTTCATCTGGGGGTGAGTGTGGGCCCCAGAGCCACGCCAGGCTCTGTCTGTGTGTGTGTATGTGTCCCACTTCAGCCATGATGTGAGAGGAGGAGGAAATCATCTCACAATGGAGGAAAAAGAGGGGATGGGGGGGCAGGAGGGTCCCCCCCCCCGATTTTGAAATCCAAGCTGCTGCTCCCTCATGGTCCTGTGTTTATTCACCTGCTCGCCTTCACCCACATGGAAAAAAAAGACTGTGAGGAGGTTAACAGGGGTCACAGCTCACATGTCGCCTTCTTCCCTCTGCTCAGATAGCCTTAGCCACAACTCCAAAGCAGCTCAGAGGATGAGCCTGCAGGGAACTGCCCTCCCATAGCCTGTCTCCCGGAAGGAGGGGCTTTGGTTTGATTGCAGAGGCGGGGGGGGGGGGGGCTATATAGATATATATTGCTCTTGCTTGTTAACCAATCCCTGATAATAATACTTGGCCCTTCTCATCAGCAGATCGCAAAGTGCTTCCCAAAGTAGGTTAGTACCAGGTGGGGAAACTGAGGCACAGCACAAGGAAGTGTCTTTCCCAGAATCACCTAACAGGCCAGATGCAGGAATAGCACCCAGGTTGCCAGTGTCCCCAGGCACTGCTCTACTCACTGCCCATGCCCTGAGTCTGATGGACTATGGGAGAAGCTGTGTAAGAAGAGCATTGTGGGGAGTGCGGGGTGGGCAGTTTTGCTATTCAGACTGGGGTGTGGCAGGGGAGGGGCCAGTGGGTCACTGGGCCGCATCTCTCGCCACGTGTCCCTTTTCCGGGTGAGGGGCTGAAGGGCAAGGGAGGTGGACGGAAGGGCCAGGTCGGCTAGTGACCAATGATTGCAGAGGAGCAGGAGGTGGAACAGCAACAGGAAAGCTCCGAGGTTGCAGCCGCTCCCGTAGGATGCTGTGGATTTGTTGGGCCGCCCTACCCCATCCACCCTGCCTCTCAGGACCATGCTAGAATAAGGCCTGGGGCTGATGTGCTGTGGCCGCATCCCTCTTCACCCATAAGGGCTCTGGAGGGACTCTGGGCAAATAAGAGCAGTCCCTGACCGGAGCCAGCCCTTGGGGAGTGGTGAAGACTCTTGGCTCGCTACGGATCCACTGAGACTGGAGAAGGTGTCCTAGGGACGGTGGGCAGCTCCATTTGAACTAGAGCCTGGGTAAAAACAGGTCATCCACAGCCTTTTCTCCTTTGGGACACAGCTTCCACAGTTTGGAAGACCCCAGAGCCCACAAGCAACCTGTATTTCCAAGTGGACATCTGGTGACAGAAGAGAGGCCACAATCCCCTGGCGAGATCTCCAGGCCAAATATTGTTCTGGGCTGACCTGGGAGCAGCCTCACAGCTTGTGGGGGCGTCTCTGGGATTCTGAGCCCTGCAAGGGCTGCCCCATCAGAACTCTGAACAATGGGATCCGGCTTGGACTATGGGGTCACTGCTGAGACGGGGGCCACCTCTTGTCGATGCAAGGGGCAGTTGTTGTGTATGATGAATAAATGGGCCTTGACTAAATGCCTCTTGTCAGGTGAGCTCAGTAACTGCCCTGGGGAAAAGTTAATGGAGATGCTGGTTAGGTGTGTGTGATCAAAGGATGGGGGGAGGGAGAGGAGAGAGAGGTGGAAAGGGATTAAAGGAGGTAGGGAGGGGGGAAGAGACCAGAGGGGAGTGGGGAGCAGAGATGGTGGAGGGGGCAATGTTGGGGTGGGGAGCAGAGATGGGGGAACGACCATGGTGAAGATGGGGGATAATGGACACAGAGTGGGAAGAAAGGGTGGGGAGGAGAGACAAGGGTAAGGAGACAGCTGGGTGGGGGTATGTGTGGGTCACCACTGTTTAATCTCTCCTGCCACATCCCTGCAAAGCCAGACGGCTCCATGAATTTACAACCGGAGCGAACAGCTGTTCAGGAGCTGCTGTTGGGTGGAGCTGCTAAATGAAAACCAGATGTGGAGGCCTAGTGGCAAGATGGGTGGGAGGCTGGGGGGGAGGGAAAGAGCAGAAGGCCCTACCTGGTCAATCGACCCCCAAAACATGTGTGGGTTAAAGTGCCCCTTAGCTGCTCAGGGGTTGGGAGCGTGTGCAGGCTGGGATGGGATTGTGGGCAGAGTCACTGGTGTACTCCCAGGAGAAGCCAGATCCTGGGCCATTTTTCTGACCAGAACCAGTTGCTTGTCCAGACCTGCTGGAGACTCCTTGGGACAGAGAAGAAGTGGCTTTCCCTCGTGGTGGGAAAGGGACAGAATCAGCCTGCAGAGGCACAACGCTCTGGAGGGGACCCCTAGTCTGTGCAGTAAATGAGGTATTTGTGGGCACATGAATGTCAATGTGTGTGTGTGTGTGTGTGTGTGTGTGTTCTGAGCAGGCAATGTGTCCATGTGTGGGTGTCTATTGTGTGTGCAAGTATGTTGGTGTACATGTATGCTGGTGTCTGCTTCTGTATGTCTATGTGCATGTATGTTGGTGTGCATGCGTGTTGATGTATACGTGTGTTGGTGTCTGCTTCTCTGTGTGTGTCTGTCCATGCATGTTGGTGTACATATGTGTTAGTGTTTGCTTCTATGTGTCGATGTGCATGTGTGTTGGTATCTGCTTCTGTTTGCGTGTGTCCAGGCATGTATGTTGGTGTACATGTATGTTGGTATACATGTGGGTGTGTCTGTCCGTGCATGTTGGCATACATGTATGTTGGTGTACCTGTGTGTTAGTGTACGTGTGAACGATCTCATCTCTGTAGCAGTGTGCAGGAATTTGCCTATGCATGTTTGTGCATCTGTGAGCTTGTGCCTTCATGTCTGTGTCCGAGGGCATACATGCACACGAGTGCTGTAGCATGTAGGTCAGCATGTGTGTGTGTGTGAGTGACGGCTGCCCACATGTGATGTTAAACCTGGGGCCTCCAGAGCTAAAATCATGGGCTGCTCAAGCCTGAGCAAAAGAACCAAATCTCCTTATCCGGGAGCTGTGACAACTCAGGCTTTTCACAGATTGGCACAACAGAGGACCTGTAAGACACCCTCCCCAATGGGATGCATGTGAACTGCTTCTCCTGGTGTGCTGGCCTGTGTGTGTGCATGCATATCGGCCTGTGTTTCCCCTCTGTGTGTCCCCTCTGGGTCAGTCAGCCTGTGTGCGTGTTTCTGTGTGTGTGTACACAGCCATTCTGTCTAGCTCACATGGAGAGAAGCATGTCTGGGTCTTCGTGTGGAAATGCACATGGCCAGAGTTTGCCTTTTGTTTGTGTTCAGGCGTGTCTGCGTGGGTGTGTGAGGGGGTGCCCGTAGATCTCTCATTCTGCTCCGTGGGATTTGCCTACAGCCTGTCAGTGTGTTCCCGCCAATCACAGCTGTGGCATCGCCTTAGGATACTGACCGCAAGCAGCATCAACACCCACCACTGGGGTTCTCTGCAAAACAAAAGTTCATCTGCAAGTGGATCCACACATCGCCCCGCCCCCGGCTTTTGCCAGACTTTTCAGAGACTGCTCACAGGTGTCCAATCCCAACCCACAAATAATGGCAGGAAAGCACCCTCTGACTGGGCTCCAAATGACTTGGTTTCCTTCTATCAAAGCTAAGCTAATGCATCCTCGTCCCAAGCTGCAGTTGCCCTGCTAGCCCAATGCCGGGGGCCTCATAGGCACAACTCTGCTGATGCCCCTCAATCCTGACCTGCAGCCCCCCTGCAATTCCAGTGCTGGGATCCCCATGCACACAGCTCTGCCAATGCCCCTGTGACTGGGGTCCCAGTGGGGGCCAGCTGTGGTCACTCAATTAGGGAGAACTGCAAAGAATGGGGCAGACAATCCCCCAAAAGCTAGTGAATATTTCAATACTTAGATTCACCAAGCCAGCATAAAACAGCTTCTTTATTGCCTTACTGGTTACTCAGAAGTCCAAACAACACAGTTCCCTTAAAGTGATCCAACCTCAGGCCTCCATCCAGGTACCCAAGTCAAATATGATGATTTCTGAAAATCTTATTTCATCAAAAAAAAAAAAAAAAGTTCTATCAACCCCAAAGGATCGGACACATTATCTCTCAGGAATATTCCAGACCTTACCCAAATACACGCTACAGACAATTCTTATTAACTAAACTAAAATTTATTAAAAAACAAAAGAGAGAGAGAGGATGGTTAAAAGATCAATATACATACAGACATGAGTTCAATTCTTAAGATTCAGATTCATGGCAGAGATGGTGAGCTTTGTAGTTGCAAAGAGTTCTTTCAGAAATAGTTCATAGGTTATAGTCCAGTGTTTATATTTCAGGGCGATCCAGTTGGAACTGGGATCTCAATCTGTGTGGCTTAGTTTTTCCCTGCATGAAACCTTAAGCAGATCTGAGATGAACAGGATCAGGACCCAATGATCTTCTTATACAGTGTTCTAGCATCCACTTGACCACACAGTCCTGGTTAAATAATAGGCTTTTGATGTAACCTTTTGCTTTCTAAACACCAACAGTAAATAGTTACACAAATTAACATAGGGCAATTTATTCATTAGACAGTCTATTACAAACTTCGAGAGACATATAGACAATGACATTATTTTACCCAAGATTCATCTAAATGTTAATATTCCCTTTTGATCTCTGAACTAGTAGCTATCGTTATTTATTTAGCGTGTGCATAGTGTAGCTATAGTGACAGACAGGAACTGTCTGTTTACATGGCTAGAATGAAAGATACACACAATTAGTATCACTTCTAACAATATAGGTTTGCATTTCAAAGTTCTAGCCCTATTTAGCATGAATGGCCCTAATTGCCATTCGCATACCTTTCTAGCATGTCTTTAAAGGTCACTTTGGGTTAGTTAGCCTGCAAGCTGCTTAACCCTTTCTGGCTATGTGTTACACTTTGTATAAGATTCGTTCCAATTATATAACAGTGGTAGAAATAATAGCGTGCATAATTACATTTTAATCAGGCAATGTCACAACCCCTCAGTTTTGGCCCAAAGCCCCCTTCCCCAGCAATCCAATCCTGAGACCAGTTAGCAGAAACTGCAAACTGTGTCAGATACGCAGAGG